TTGGCTGGCTACACAGGGTTCGTCCTCCAGGGGTGTTGAGCTAGAAGGTAATCACCATGTGCCAGACTTAAGCGATTCCTTGTGATGTAAACCCTTAAGTAGTATAGAACTTCCTGACTCTAATAATTACAGCTAACTTATCTTGTTACCTTGGAGCCCTGGCAGCGTATTGGGCTGCTAACTGCAAGGCCCACCGTTTGAAACCACCAGCAGCTCCTCGGGAGACAGACAGGGCTTTCTAATCCCATAAGGCGTTACAGGCTCGGAAACTCATAGGGGCAGTTCTGCCCCATCCTGCAGGGCCGCTCTGAGTCGGTACCAACTCCACGGCAGTGAGTGTGGTTTGGAATTTTTATGGCCTGTCCCTATGTCGTACTGTGGGGGCTGTGGATGTCACTGTGATGCTGGAAGCTATGCCACTGGCGGGTCCAGTACCAGCAGGGTCACACATGTGGAGCTTCCCGCGGAAGATAGGCTAGGAAGAAAGGCGTGGTGATCCACGCTAAAAAATCAGCTAAGGCAAGCTGTGTGGATTGCAGAAGAATGGTGTGTCCTCTTCACGTGCTGCGAGATGAGCCCTTTAGATGGGCGGTCACCCAAAATACCCAGTGGGTGCAACAAGGGATCCGGCACACCCACCGCCCTGTGCATGGGTTGTCAGAAGTCGGAGATGCCTTGCGGCAACTGTCGACTCTATAGCAATCTTGTTGGTGTTGGGTGCCATCGAGTCCGTTTCAGCTCATAGCGACCGATGTAGCAGAGTAGAACTATCCGTTGGGATAACTTGGCTGCACTCTTGCTGGAAGCCGGTTGTCAGGTCTCGCTCCCTTGGAGCTGTTGGGTGGGTCTGAACCTCTGATCTTTGGGTTATAGCATGTGTTAGTCTGGGTTGAAAAGAGAAACAAAGACACACCTACGTGTATAAGTAAGAGCTTTATATCAAAGAGTAATTGTATATTAAGAAAACATCCCAGCCAAGTCCAGTACTAAGTCTGTAAGTTCGATATTAGCTCACCTGTCCAATATCTGTCTATAAATTCCTCTTCAGACTCATGCAACACATGCAATGACACCAAACGCCGGAAGATCACAGGCCAGTGGGTGGAGAGATCACAGGCCAGTGGGTGGAAAGTTTTGTGGATCCAATGGTGGTGGAAGCATTTCAGCGCTGGCGTGGGTCTCCATGTGGCTCCTCCAGCTCCAGTGCTCTGGCTCTATCAGCGTAGCTCCATGTGGCTTGTCAACAGGAATGTCTCACAGGGAGTGAATGGATCTGGCCTCCAGTGAGCTATTTATCTCCTTTGTGCCTCCAAATGAGGTCATCAAGCTGCGACCTGATTGACACCCCTTCACTCTCAATAGTCTCAAGTTGACACCAGATTTTGTGACTACCACATAGCAGCTGAGCGGCCTCCAAGACTGCCTTGGGAACTCTCTTTCCACATATACTCAAAACACTCGGACTCACTGTCATTGAGTCATTTCTGACCAGACCAACCCTGCATGACCGGATAAAAACTGTAATTCTTTACAGGAGGAGAAAGTCTCATCTTTCTCCCAAGGAGCAGCTGGTGGTCTGGAACTGCTGACCTTGAGGTTCTCAGACCAACTCATAGCCCACGACGCCACCAGTGCTTACTTTGGACATCTATAATTTTGAGTCAAATATCCTTTATACATTCAAACACACGCACACTTAGGTAAAGCCACATTCTGGGCTAAACGGTCCATCATGAATATTCATAGTATTTGCTGCAGATAACATACTTGGTCCGTGGCAATCCAACAAGATGCACAGAAGGTTTGCTGTGACATAAAAGATCACAAAAACCATCATACAGGCTTTGTTCTTTGTTTCTCCAAATCGGGACTCCTGTTCAGCCCGATGACTTTTTCCAACCGTTCATTCATCTATTCACGCAGCACGCATTTCTTGGACTCCACCACGAGGCAAGTACTATTCTGGGTTCTCAATATATACTAATAAGCCAACCAGTCAGAAAGATTCATGGCCTTAGGAAGTTTGTGCTCCTGTCAGGCCACAGAGAGCAAAAGATCAGATATACGTTCACTGTGCTGGCAGGTGGTGGCGGTGGTGGAGAGAGCAGCACTCGGAAGGCATTCCTGAGGAAGGGACCCTGGAGTGGGGACCTGAAGACTGTATGGAAAGGATCGTAGGATGCCTCAGGGAGAAGACATGGAGACTCCCTTGCCCACGGAGTGAGGTTTCTTCCTGGATAAGCTAAACCAGGGACACTCACATATGAATAAGAAAAAACTTTGTATAATCAAGAAAGCTGCCCCGCCCAGTCCGACTCAGATCCCTGGCTCAGGTACTAGCTGGAGGCTCTCAGATTTTCATCGCTGCCAGCGGATGAAGCAGGGAGGCAAAGTGGGCAGCTGGGTGAGCATAGGCCTGTGGGGGCAGACTCTGCAGGAGCATGGCAGGGCGCTGACCGCTCCCAGGGTCACTGGCTCTAGATGTGTGACACAGGACCCAGTTGTGCAGGAAGGTGCAGGAAGAGAAAGTTCCCAGTGTCTCTCTTATAAAAAGGCATTCCTCCATGGAGGCACCACGGTCTGTGACCAGGCTGATGGGTTGGACTCCACCCCTACTTTCACACAGGTGCAAGTTGACATAAAATCTCACCCTCACACCTACTCTTAGATGTGGTGCATCTCCTTGGTTAAGAAGCCAGCCCTGGTTAGAGCCAACCTACTTCCCACCTGCACCAGTGCAGCTGAATCTGGGCTACCGGAAAACTTCAACACCTCAGCAAGAAAAATCAAAATAATCTATTTAGACTGGAGGAATAATAACCCAATGCACTGCTGGGGGGACTGTAAAATGGCACAGCCACTGTGGGAAGGGCTATGGCAGTTCCTCAAAAAGTTGGGCACAGGTATACCATATGCCCCAGTCATCTCTCCACTGGGTGTATAACATCAGGCTTGGTATACCATATACCCAGTCAGCTCTCCACTGGGTGTATATCAGGCTTGGTATACCATATGCCCCAGTCATCTCTCCACTGGGTGTATATCAGGCTTGGTATACCATTGCCCCAGTCATCTCTCCACTGGGTGTATATCAGGCTTGGTATACCA